CACCACCACCACCACCCCCACCACTCCACCACCCCACCCCCCCCCACCCCCGCAACCAAGTTTCACTCTTGTTCCCTAGACTGGAGTGCAGTGGCTCGCTACAACCTCCGCCTCCTGGGTTCAAGCGATTCTCCTGCCTCAGCCTCCTGAGTAGCATGGATTATAAGCATGTGCCACCACACACAGCTAATATTTGCATTTTTAGTAGAGACAAGGTTTTACCATGTTGTCCAGGCTGGTCTCAAACTCCCTCTCAGGTGATCTGCCTGCCTTGGTCTCCCAAAGTGCTGAGATTACAGGTGTGAGACACCACGCCTGGCTATTGATGTTTCTAAGCTACTTTTACAAGAGGGTTACACTTGTCAGTCTGTCCCTGGATTTGGGTGACCCCTCCTATCCAAGAAAGCTAGATGTGATTAGAGTTATAATACAGTAATTTTCATGTAGCCCACAAGAAACTAATCTTCCAGATACTGCTGGTTTAGGTGATGCTGTGGTATAGGGAAAGAAATGTACTGTATTAACCCACAAGGAAATCAAAGACATAAGAAAAATGTTTTAAAAAATTTATATTAGGGCTAGGGCGATCACACCTGTAATCCCAGCATTTTCGTAGGCTCAGGCGGGCAGATCACAAGGTCAGGAGTTTAAGACCAGCCTGGACAACATGGAGAAACCCCATCTCTACTAAAAATACAAAAATTATCTGGGCATGGTGGTGGGTACCTATAGTCCCAGCTACTCAGGAGGCTGAGGCAGGAGAATCACTTGAAGCCAGGAAGCAGAGGTTCAAGTGAGCTGAGATCACACCACTGCACTCCAGCCTGGGCAACAAAATCGAAACTGTTTCAAAGAAAAACTGGCCGGGGGGCGGGGGTGGATTACCTGAGGTGGGGAGTTCGAGACTAGCCTGACCAACATGGAAAAACTCCATCTCTACTAAAATACAAAATTAGTTGGGCGTGGTGGCCCATGCCTGTAATCCCAGCTACTCCAGAGGCTGAGGCAGGAGAATGGCTTGAACCCAAGAGGCTGAGGTTGCAGTGAGCTGAGATTGCACCATTGCACTCTAGCCTGGGCAACAGGAGCAAAACTCTTGTCTCCAAAAAACAAAACAAACAAAACAAAAAAATTGAACCAGTTGCAGTGGCTCACATCTGGAATCCAAGGTGAGAA